GGGAGCGGACGTGGGGCGCCCTGGTGCTAGGCGGGTCTCAGGACATCCGAACCTCAATGCTGAGCCAGGACAGAGTGCAAGACCCGGAAATATATAGCCCAAGGGAAAGAGAGGGACAGGAAGGACAGCAGACCGGAAACTAGGGACAGGACAGAGAAGGAGCGCCCTCTGGCTGCAGAGGGCGTGACAATTATATTCCCTATTAATCAAATTCTATTTTTATATACATTATTTCACATGTTAGACTTTGATGCTTAAAAATGTTTAGGGAGAAATGGAATACTGGTGTGTATTTTTTTAAAGTACCGAGACCAGCCATATACTGTAATACTGTATGTTTATGTTCCAAAATTAATATCGTTTATGGCCTTCACACGCGTTATGCTCCTATTCTTTTTATGCTCAGCTACTAAAGTTTCCCTTCAGTAGTAAAATCCCATATAAATACGCAACACAAAAACGGGCACAGTAAAGAAATTTAAATCTTTCTACGACCAACCAATGGACCACGAGTGCCCCTGTCGGTCAACTAATCACGTACCGCGGTATGACGCGCGATGATGCGCGATGACGTAGCCAATTACCCGCGGTACGTGTCTGTGCTGCACACTTTGAATGGCTGCATCTGTAGCAGGAGGGCAAGAAGGAAGTCATTACTGAAAAAGCATCAACAAGGTATCAGTGATACTTCATACAGTACATTTGGCATAATGTTTTTTGGCCTGACAAAACTAAAATGAAACATTTTGGCCTAAATACAAAGTATTATATTTGGTGAAAATTAAACACAGTACATAACCCAAAGAAGCCCTTCCCCACTGTGAAGAATGGTATTAGAAACATTATGTTACCAGTGAGGACTGGGGCACTTGCCACAATAGAAGGGAAAATGAAGGGAGCCACGTAGAGAAAAGTAATTGGGGAAACCCTGATGCCTTCTGCAAGTAAGTTGAAAGTGGGACAGACGTTCACCTTCAGTCTTGTCACAACCCAAAGCACAAAGCCAGAAACAACAGTGGAACTGTTAAAGAACAAAATGGAAACATCCTTGAATGGCCCAGTCAGAGCCTTGACCTAAGCCTTGACCTAAGTCCAACTGAAAACCTTTGAAATCACTTAAAGTTGCAGGACATCAACAGTCTTCTCGCAATTTGACTGAACATGAACAGTTTGGAAAGAAGGAATGGGAAAACATTTTCAAATCTTGACTGGTGGGCTACATTTGTACAGACTTATTCAAACCGAATTTATTCAAACTAAAGGTGCTTATCCAACCCGTTTTTCTAGGTTTTCACTTGTAACTGCTTAATTACTGTAATAAAGCTAAAATCATTTGTGATACTTAAACACTTCTCCACTTTTCTTCCTTTCCTATACTTTTTAAAGATCATTGTTCACTGCATAGATTTTAGCGTATACTGTATATGAGGCTGAGCAACTAAAACTCTTTACACGTGTGTATAATTTTAACACTGGATTCATTTTTGAAGTGTTTGAATTAAATTCTAATTATTCTCCTTCATTCTCTATTAAACCATGCAAGGAATATGCTGCTGAGTTTTATGTACTATTCACAACACTCAGCTCCAGGCCTCAGTGGGATTGTTTTTTGATGGAGAAACACAAAAATTGATTTTGTGTTAATATCTCAGTTCCACTGAGAAATAACTGAGGCCTGACAGCACAAGTCATTGGCTTAGATATAAAGGCAGGATAGACTCCCAAGCTGGGGAGTAGCAGAGCCAAGGAGGGAAGTCTGGTGTATGAGAAGATTAACAGTGGTGCCAGAGATCGAAGAATAAAAACGTTAATCAGGCTGGAATACGGAAATCTTTCCCCAGGGTGTCTGTGCATTTTATCCAGAGAAAAGAGGTGCCTTTGTTTTTATTAAAGCTTTATATCAGACCAAGATTCCAGGTGGAAGACACCTACCAAGGCAGTAAATGACTGTAGAAACTGGGAGGAACATTTATATATTAGAGAAATTGAGAAAGTCAATTGCTGGCTCTATGTCTAAAAGCACCTGCTGACAGACCTTCTAGAATCACCTGCTGACAGACTTTCTAAAATCAAATTCTGACTGCCTGCTAGAGTAACAGTCATATGCTGCTTGGATGTAGTTCTAAATAATTGCACTAGTTTAGAGTCACTCAATTATTGGCTGTCTAGAGTCATCTATTGACTGGCTAACTGTCTATAGTCAACTGATGATTGACTGTCTAGAATTACCCATGGACTGGTTATCCAGAGACAATTATTGGCCACAATTCTTTCTAGCAATGTCAGCTGAAATGAAGTAGAATAGAATAGATGAAAGCTGAAAACTGACTAAAGAAAGTGTGTAATACACAAAAGTTGGTGTTACTCGCCTAATCTTTTTTTCATGAGTTTGAGCTAAAGACAAGTGCAGGTTGTGTGATTAATAGCCTTAAATCCATTACAATGAAATTTAAAAACCTACTTGATTAATCGGTTAAATAATAATACTAATCTTTATTTTACACACCACCTTTCATGATACTTTATGACAGCTTAGAAAACAAAATGCACAAGCATATACAAATACATTTGCGATTGTCTGGTATTTAATTTGGTCCCTTTTAACAGTTTTTCGATCTACTGTATTGCTTTGAGATGCCACTTTTAA